CAGCAGCAAGTGCTCAATGACACATTTGTTAATCCATCAGAAAGCCCTGACCAGCCCAGAGGGCACCCAGTACTCAGTGACATCTCCAGAAGGGTCAGTCTTTCCTTCAGGCCACAGCCCTCTCCTGGTGGACGACCATCTGCAGTCTACACCACCGCAGGGCAGCATTGTGCAAACCCTGCTCAGTCTCGATGATATGTGCCTTTCAAATGCAAGCAACGTTCTCGCCTGAGATTCCGGCAAATCCTTAACACGTGTCTGGGGCTTCATCTATTGACATGCACAGTGCTGGATTCCTCACCCAAGACACTTTCCCTGTGGGTAACCCACCAACTGGCACTGGGAGTGGTTTTGCAGGGACAGACACCTAGAGCGTGCTCTTGTCCCCGCATGCCTGAGCAGAGTGCAGCTGCTCCAGGGCATTACTAGCACTTCCTGAGAACTGTGTATAACTGGGGCTAACTATGGATTCCTAAGCAAGAGCCCCACCCTGCAGATGAATCTTCCACATAACTTCCCGGTGAAGAAAAAGTCTTGGCTTAAAAAAAACCAAAAAACCCAATTTGTGTACTTGGCTTCAAAAGGGCAGTCTGGTATAGGACGTGCACCCTCTAGTGGACAGAGAGGAGTTCTTAATCCTTACCAGAACTGTTTCCGTTCAGGCTTTATTCTTTTCTGATATAAGCCCTGTGTGTCCCACAGTAATCTTTAAGATCTGAAAAAAACTTTCTTCTTTTTAACACTGGGGAATAAACCAGGTGCACTTTTTCAATTTTGAGACAGGGTCTTGCTAAATCGCTGAGGCTGGCCTAGAACCTTCCACCCTCCTACCTCAGGATCCCAAGTCGCTGGGACTACAGGCATGCGCCACTGCACCCGGTGTCCTATCTTTTTAAAACTCAGGACTCCTGCCCACTTCAGTCCTCTTATGTAACCCAGAATAGTCACACTCAGGCCCCTCCAGGACACAGTGCTGCCCATTTTAAACATGCATCTGTTCTCTGGGGTAAACTGGTCCTCAGCTGTGTCTAGCCAGCAGGAGCTAAAGATGGGTGAGGCCCTTCAAGGCTTGGGGTGTCTCGCACCTCCTCCAGGAGTCTGGCCTCCCTCCTACCACCACACCAGGGTGCCCAGCACGCCAGGTCACAGGAGCCCCTGGCTATGAGACAACTAATGAAGACTACGATCACGCTGGACGGTCTCAGAGAAAGGCAGGAGGCTCAAGGTGAAGTCATCTCGGGGTGGCACCTCAGCCGAGACCAGGACAGGGAGGCTCACTAGCCAGCTACCTTGGGTCAGTCACTCCCCTGGTCCTCCTTCTCTCTTTGCACTTTGTACCCTAGGAAGTCTCAGCCCTACCAGAGGACTCGGGAGCTTGTGGCACCTGGAGGAAGCGACTCCCCAGGGTCAGCCACGGACTCCCTGCGCCTGTGAGAGCTGCACTGCCAGAGGCCCAGGCCCAGCGCCCCCAGGTAAAGGGCCAAACCCACTGCTCCAGGGAGTCGCAAGCAGACCTCAAGTTCTGAGGACAGAGAGGCCTGCCCGGGGCCACTGAGGGACCAACACTCTGCACAGAGCGAGTCTCTGACTGGTCATCAAGATGGTCCGTCCACACATGCCAACACAGAGCCGCCGTGTCCAGTATGTATCACGTCTCAAAACACAACTCAGGCAACTGGAGACCTCAGCTTCCTGCCTCGGTGGCAATGTGGGCACCTTCCTGCTGCCACAGCACCCATCAAGGCCCCAGGCCTTTCCTAACTGAGGCCGAGGGTCTCCCAGCTGAAAGCAGGAAGAAGACCAAAGGCAAGACCATGCCTCAGGCTCAGTGCAGGCCCCCGGGCCCACCCAGACCCGGATCTGCTCACTTCCGGCCATGGGAGAACCCCCTGGGGAGTCATCGTCACCATCAGGGTTCCCACTTAAGTAACCAAGGTAGACAAGTGACTTGCTGAGGTCACACAGAGCTGGTGTGGAGCTGCGATCTGAAGTCCTGGGTGGGAATGTGGATGCTTCGACCTCAGTGCCAAGGCCCTTTGTGGTCACCAAACTAAGTGCTGCTGTGCTTGGGAACTGTCCATGTGGGCCTGCCTCTCCTGGGCAGCCACAGGTCCTTCAGGTTACTGGTCAGCTGCCATGAATCCACCAAAAGTTTACCTCATGGTATTGAAATTCTATTCCTGGCCCTGGGGGAGACCAGCTGGGACAGATCCTCCAGATCCGTGGTGGACAAGACAGGGGCAGGCGAGGGACCAGGAAATAAACAGGTCAACAAGCATGTCTAGAAAAAGGAATGCAAGCAGGGGGAAAGCAGGTACCTTGAACCTAACAGTGTGAGGTCAGAGGTCCAATACAAACCACCTTTGCTGCTGTGATGGCCCACCACGGGGACAGCCCAAGAGGCCAGGTATCTGCACTACACGCAAAACCAGAAACACGCAGCCAGAACACGGGCTGGCAGAGGTGCGTCCTTCACATAGCAGACAACCAAGCATTCCCCTCATCCCTATGACAATGTTCCTCGGATGAGTGTGACTGGGGACAGGAGTGGAGACTGAAGAATGAGACTGAGTGGAGACTGAGAATGAAGTTGTAGGGATAGGGGAGGCAGCACAGAGGGTGCAGGACCACACACTGCCACTGCCCTTGAGCCCTAGATGTCAGGAACACCAGCCAACACACCAAGCTCCAGGGACACTGACCAGCAAGGGAGCTGCTCGTCCCTACAGAAGGCTGGCAGTGCCCTAGGTGACATCCAGGTCCTGGAGAGTGAGCTAAAGAGGCCCACGCAGGGTAGAAGGTACCTGAGGAACAAGGGGCAGCAGCCATGATGCGGCATGCTGTGACCAGGTCTGAGAGGATCACCAAGATGCTGACCTACCCAGGTGCACAGGAGCCACCCTTCCCATAGATGCCAGGGACTGTGGTTGTCTCCCTACATGCATTGTCACTTCTCAACAGTTTGTGTTCCTGCAGGATGAAGTGTCCCCAGCACCCACCCATGTGTCCCAAGGACTTGTGCCAGTGAGGAGTGTAAGTCACTCTCTGGAACAGCTGGAAACAGCGCGCCAAGTGCGCACCCCAGCCACAAGGAAACCACAAGAGGATGAAGAGACATCCTAGGGTCGCACTTGGTTTATTTGGATGCACGTGGAGCTGTCTCCAGCAGGTCTTCACCACACACGTGGGTCAGAATGGAACCAAACCAACCTGGAGGCCCTAACCCACAAGAGCCCACGCCAGCACAGAACCTGCAGGACTGCCGTCAGAAGCACCAGCCAACACACCAAGCTCCAGGGACGCTGACCTGCAAGGAAGGACACCTCATCATTCCTGTTCTACTTCACCAAGTCTGAGCACGGAAAACTGTTGCATCATGAAGTGCCCTCGACACTGGCAGTCCACCCCCACCCAGATGCCACGCAGAAGATGCTCTGGGGTTCTGCCCTGTGAAGACCCTGCTTCCACCCCCCTACACCCAGCACCAGTCACATACCACCAAAGCGATCACAGTGATGTCCTGCCCCATCTCCCTCCAGGCTTTAACTGTTGCTTTATTCCTCAGAAACCTGCTGGTCACAAAGCCACAATCAGCCTGAATCTGCCAGGCAAAGTCCCCACCACACATTCCCACTTGACTTTCCTTCCCTCCATGGCCATGCATCTCCCAAGCCCAGCCCATGCACCGCTGCTCCCCATGTCCCCTTGAGCCCTCTCTCAGTTCCTGCCTTTGTTATGTTGCCTCAGCTAAAAACAGCCTTGGCCTCCTCGGGGTCCCACACCCTGATGGGTCCCTTTAAAAGCGCTCCCTCCTGTTGTCCCATGCACTTACTGATGTCTACCCTCAACCCAGGGCTCGTGCATGCTAAGCAGGTGCTCCTCCATCGAGCTGTGCACCCGGCCAGAACCACGCTTTTCTTTATGTCCTGTCCAAGGCATGGGACACAATGCCATGCCGAAAATGTCACCTCACAGTCTGTACTGACAACAAAGCAGGCAGCCAGGGGGAGGAAAATCCCACCAACAGTTACTGCCTGGAGCTGGATGCAGTCTCTGACTCTAGCCAGGAGGGAACAGGGTGCAGGAGACATAAGAACATCTGTGTGCCCTGAGCCCCAACAAGGGGTCGCTGCTCCCGGCCAAAGTGGGCTAGAGCTACCCTATCCAACATGGCGGCCATCAGGTAGGTACACTGTACCAGTCCCTCAGTCACACCAGCCACACAGCAAATGCTTATTCAGGCCTGTGGCTAGTGGCCACTCTAGACAGCCTAGAGAATGTCCATCATTGTAGCAAGTCCTGTTTAACAGCACTGTTCTGGATCCAGTGATCTTTTGAAATCAGAGATCTATGCACACCTTCCTTTTGTTCCAAACACCTAACAGTATCCCAGTATTTCTAGGACAAAGACCAAGACCCTCACCAAGCTACAAGGCCCTGTGTGGCCTGGTTCTTCTGCACCTTTTTGGCTTTGCATGCTTTCTGAGCTAGGATGGCTTTCTTCCAGTTCCTCTTCCCTAGGCCACTGGGCCTTTGCACACACTATTACCTGGCTTTCTGAGCAAACGCCTACTTTATCCAGAGTCCAGCTCAAGTCTCATCCTTGGAAAAGCTTTCCAGCCTCCATCAGGCTCCCTGAGATATACTGTGCTTCCTTTCAGAACATTCACCTCTGCTTAAATTAACCACCTCTTTTTTTTCTGCCCTAGTACTGGAGAACGAACCCAGGGATGCCCAACCATTGAGCTACATGCAATCTTTTTCTGTTCTTTGAGGCAGGATCTTCCCAAATTGCGCAGGCTGGCCGTGAGCGAGCTTCCAATCCTCCCGCCTCCACCTCCCAGTAACGGGGACTATGCGTGTGCGCCTCGGTGCCCCGGGAATGACACCCTCCTAAGTGGTAATCTGGCCGGAAACTCCCCGGGAAAAGCCTTGGCTGTTTCACCTTTGTATCCCCAGCGCTTCCCGTGGCGCCTGGTCCAATACCACTAAGTCCTTCCGCCTGTTTGCAGTATCATACATGACCACCAAGCGGCTGCCAGAGTGCTCACACCTGTTACTGCAGATTCCGACCCGGGAGGGCTCCCCGGGACTTACTCTAGGTCAGGGTGGGGCTGCCTGGTACGGGCTGCACAGGCCACTGGGCAGGTGCGACAACACAGGCGCCGTTCCCCGGACCACGACCCTGCGGACGCTGTCCCCCCGCTGGACACACCTGGTCTCCCAGACGGAGGTCACTTTCTGGAGGGAGGAGTCGCTGCACGCCTTCTCCCCACCGCCGGGGCCTGGAAGTTCCTCATTCCCGCGGAAACCCTGCGAAGAGAGCAAAGCAGCGGGGCTTAAGAGGACAGTCGCCGCAGCCCACCCACCGCGGCCGCCTGCGCCGCCCCGGGCCCACTTCCTGGGGCATCGTCCAGGCCCCAGCGGCTCAGCGGTTCCGTTCCGCGGGAAGGCGTGGGTGGCAGGGGCCCCGCGAGGAAGGCCTGGGGTCTCAGGGACCCCGAGCTGGTGGCAGAGAGTGCCGCGGCCAGTAGGAGGCGACAGCCGGGCTCCTCTGACCGGACGCTGCACGTGGCTTTACTCGCTTCCCACCCTGCTGGGCGGAAGCGGTTCTGCAGATGCACTTCCGGCAGGAAGTGAGGATTTACCATCGAGACAGCAGCTAGAGAGTCGCCCTCGGTTTTGAATTTGGGTCCTCCAAGGCGATCTTAAAGGGGCCGTGGCGCGAGATACGGTTAAAGGGGATGAGAGCCTTGGCTGGGGGGAAGGGCCCCAGTAGCAGGGAAGCAGAAGGGACCGCTGTTTCCTAACATCCTGCAAGGGTCTGGAGCCTTGCGTGCAGTGGCCTTCCTCTCCTCTTGCAATCATCTTATTTTTTTTTTTAACAGATGAGAAATCTGGGGCTCCAGAGAAACCAAGTTACTTTCCCAAGAGCAGCCAGCTGGGAAGTGGCAGAGTCGGGTTCAAACCCAAGCCGTTCTGCTCCAAATGCAAAGCTCTTTTCATCACCTCAGGTGAAAGGAAGGACATGAGAGGAGAGGGGCTAGAAAAGATGAGCACGTGATCAGTGCCATGCAGTTCAGGGTGGAGGGAAGACTGCTGGATCTGGGAAAATGACAGAACCTGGGAGACAGAGATCACAACCCTCCTTGGCCTGAGCCCTCACCAGCCTCTGCCCCAGCACCAGGAGTCACAAGCCAACATTCTGGCTCGGCTTGCAGGAGGGGCTTGTTTGACCCCCCTCAGTGTTTGGGTTTGTATTATGCCTGAGGCAGGGACTATCTCTGTTAGCCACAGGCTCCACCACTCCCTATTGTGCACCCACTGTTTTCTACTTGTACAGTATCTCTGTACACGTGAGCCATTTGACTTTGTGACTTGGGGAGCCTGGACTAAAACCTGTTGGGAGTCTCCCTGAGAACTTCCCGGGCCTTTCAGATAAGGAGCCCCTAATGCAACATGGTGGCAGGCAAGTTGCCAGTGGGCGGATAACAAGTTGTTTTGAAAATTTTCTCATTGGTCCTCCTGTCTTCTGTGATCTTGGACATCTCGTGCCCCCCATGAATCTCATGCAGGGCGGACTTGCGTGCACTGTAGGTGATGACCTGACCTTTACTGTGATTGGCCCCGGGAGCTTCCTGGTTTAAGATAACTGACTCTCACTTTCTATATAAACTAGCACCAGCTTGCAGTCAAGTGCTTCATCTTTGTCACTGCTATCTGTGTGTGCGTTTTAATCTCCCACCACGAACCTTGGCCTTTCAAAACCCCCAGGCTGTTGAGTGGCATTAAAGCCCTTTAGACAGTGCCAGGCTTCCAGCCTCCCAGTGTCTCCCCAGGGTGTGAGATTCCACAGAGAACTGATGGTCCAGCCTGGGGCCACGTGACCTCTGTGGCTGAAGGCATGGTTCAGTAGAAACTTAACCAACTGCTCGGACTGGAATCAGATTTACCCAAAAGTTAGATAAAGCAGGGAGGGCTGGGGATGTGGC